TTAAATTCTTCTCAACCGAAAAACAGTCAATCTCTTGGGTGTATTTGAATAAAGCACTCAGAAGAGATTATTATGCCGCGAGAATGACATTGGTATAATATGGTTGGAGGCAATCATCAGGAAGCTTCGGACCACATAGGTTTCGTCCTAGTTGGCACTCACCAGTCAGCAAGGCGTATGTCCTAACTCGAAGGAATTCATATCTTCTCTGAGATTCGAACCCGCGTCACCCAGTGCTGCCTGCAGTCAGACACGTTACCGCTGAGCTATTCCGGCTCGCGACTGACTAGTGTCCAATCAAAAAATATCCAATACAGTCCTACAGGTGGTCGATAGCGAACCCGAACAGTTCATTGGTAACGTCTCTGACTACAGGTGACACTGGGCGACACGAGATAGAATCTCAGAAGAGCCATAATTTTTTTTCAAGATTGCAGATAGGCTTTGCTGACTGATCAATGTCAACAAACACGAAATCTAGGTCGAGCAAGGCTTCTTGTGGTTGATTGTCTCCAACCATCTTATACGAACAATTCACAGTACACTGTGATGGTGAGTCACCTAGCATGGTGGCCACATTGTGAACTTGCCTGATAGAATTCAGTCTGCACGAGGGATAGGACTAGACACATTACACTAATTACTGAATAATTTTATTGTTATAAGTATAAAACTTGGGCACTGTGGTAGAGCATAACTCCATTATGGATAAGATTTTATTTTGGTAAATCACACAGTGTTGTACAGTAATATTAACTGATGACGTTTCGAGCATAAACTATTCATATGATTATGAGCAATAGGTTATGCTCGAAAAGTCATCAGTTAATATTACTGTACAACACTGTGTGATTTACCAAAATAAAATCTTATCCATAATGGAGTTACTGACTAGTTTCCAGTCGAGAATGATATTCTTCGGTAACAAAAAATTTACACGAACAATTCCTTAGCTGATGATTTCAAGCCGTAAATATTCAGTTTTGTAGGCTATGAGTGGTATACTGACAAGACAATCACTGTAACGCAGAAAATCAACTTCATCAAATTATTTTGAAAGATAAACATTTCATCCTAGGGAATAGTAAAAAAGACAGTTGCAGCGAAGAAAATTTTCTTTTCGACGAAGTCATGAACTTGGCTGTATATTCATGTATTTATAATGAATGGTTGGGAAAATTCCAGCATAATTTCCGGTTAAGGGGCAAATTAATAGAATTACAATTAGGAATTAAAATAACATAATAAACAGGTTGACGGATAAAATTCAGACAAAGTAGCATCATAATTACTGAGACGATTGACATATTGTGCAATTAGGGGTTAGAAATGTAGAAATAACAAACTAGACAGGATTTTTGGATAAAAAATCTAGTGGGATCATAATTATTGTGACGAATAATTGTTTATGCAATCAGGGATTAAATATGTAGAAGTAATAAAATGACAAATTAGACAAGAAGTTCGTATATGAAAATAGGGTAGTGTAAATAAGGATTAAGAAAAACTTAAAAATAACATGAATAAACAGGAAGTTTGGACAAGAAAGTCAATGGGATAGTCTCTATTAAAAGAATTACCTGTTTATGATGACCGTGGCATGGACAGGGGTTGGGCACACTTTAATTCCTAATTGTAATTCTATTAATTTGACCCCTGACCGGAAATTATGCTGGAACTTTCCCACCCAACTATTATTATTATTGTTCCCTTGGGTTCCTAGTGGAACACAGGGCTTCAACTACACGTCTCCACTTGTTTCTGTCTTCCGCTGTACTTTTCACCTGCATCCATTTTAGTCCATACTGTTCCAACTCCTCTTCACATGACCTCCTCCATGTCACCCTTGGACGTCCCACTCGCCGCTTTCCTTTCGGGTTCCACTCGAGCACTGGCCTGACGCGCGATGTCACCCAGCTGTCTCATCAGCAAGTGTCCAATCCATCTCCACTTTCTCCTGCATATTTGTTGGGCGATTGGTTCTTGTTTTGTTTGTTCCCATAGTTTCTTGTTGGTGATTCTTTCCGGCCATCTGATCTTCAGTATAGAGCGAAGACAGTTGTTGATAAATATGTGCAACAGGCTGTTGGAAATATTCTTGGTGACCCGCTAAGTTTCTGATCCGTATGGAAGAATTGACTCGACGCTTGTAATGAAAATCAGAATTTTGTTGTTGATGCTGAGTGACAAAGATTTCCAGATTGGTTTCAGGTTGATGAATGTGTATCTCGCCTTCCCGATTCTCGATTTGACTTCCTCGTCAGTTGTTCCTGTAGTTGAGACAATGCTCTCTAGATAAGTGATTGAAGTAACCTCTTTCAAATCCCTCCCGTTGATGGTGATTGGCGCTGGATGTTGCTGCTGTTGTTGTTGTTGGTTGGTTATTTTCATAACCTCAGTCTTGTCTATGTTCATCTGGATAAATACACGAATGTACAGCCTAGTTGACGGTGACTTCGTCGAAAAGAAAATTTTCTTCACTGCAACTGTCTTTTTACTATTCCCTATTTTCAAATATAATCAAATTGTACAACTGACTGCTCAAATGAATATTCGTCATTCCTATCCCTATTAATGAAGAAAGAAATTCCATTAAGTGTATTGCACACTGGAGGATATGGATAATTTAGCAGAATTAATGAAGTATTATACTATCGGCGGTGAGGAACAAATTCCTAAGCGGTTATCAGATCACATAAAAAGTGTAAATTTACTTAATCTCAATGAGAATCAAACATTATCTATCACAGCATATTTTACCAAACTCTAGGGATAAAATAATTATCAATTATTGTCTCCCAATTACTTCACGTTATTAAGAAAATAAAACACCAACCGGCGGAGAAAATTTTCTTTATCGGTGGAATCATCTTCCTCTACAGTAGCATTTATATTTACCGAAAATATATACTAGTCCATTATTGAGTAATAGGAGGAGGCGGTAACACAACTGATATAATTACTCAGAAGTGGCTTGAAAAGTAAAAATAAAGGTTTTAAATTAATCAACGGCACAAAAGAAAGAAAGCGTTAGAAATTTGTTAAGGTTATAATTGTCATTGAGTGAGAATAAAGGTAGTTAAGCGTCCATCTAGTAGGTGTGAAAAGGGTGAGAAAATGTAAAAAAGGGAAACATATGAAAGTGATCATAGTGAATTAATTAAATAATAAAAGTAAAAGAAAACTAGTCATTAGAAATAAAAATAAAAATTTACAAGGAACATTTCATGAAGAGGTTAAGACCACGGTAGTATAATAGAATGGACAAACTTTTTCCGTATACAGAGTTAGCGGTTGTATTGACAAATAGTCAAGGCCTCTGTCATATACAAATGGTTCCACATCCTAGACTATCTTGAAAGACGACTCTGGTGAAGCTGTGTGGCTTGAATCCACCAAAGTGCTCGAGAATTGAGCTAGTAATTGTCTAGCATTGTCCCTTTGCTAACCATGCCGGATAATGTTCAGAGATGTGTTTGGAAAGTGTTCGCCTTTTGCAGCCAATATAACTACCTCCCCAGGAGCATGTGAATTTGTAGACACAAATCGAAGTGGCTCAAAGCGGCAATTTATCCTTAACACATTAATTGATCATATGCCAACTGTTGGAAGTGATCCGTAACTAAGCCGCAAAGAAGGCTTTTCTCAGTGATCTGGATAAGTGGTTCTTCAGAATATCAGTCGTGGTATCACCTTTAAATTCAATGTTCATAAAACATGGTTTCTTTCAGACTTTTCCTTTGCCCTCATGTTTTCCCCAATGAATCTTGCAGGATATCCATTTTCCATGAGGACTCTTCTGAGCCGCTACATTTCATCATCGATTGTATCACTAGTATATATCAGTCTTATCCTTGAAGATAAGGAGTGGATCAGATTTCTCTTTCTTCTCAAAGGAACCCAACCGGGAAAATTCTTGTATTGACCATTCCATTTTGGTTTCCTGTACAGCCTCTGGGAGATGATTTCGTCGATAAAGGAAATTTTCTTCACTGAATTTTATTTTCTTTTCTTCATGACTCGATGTGTATTTCACATAATTCTGATTCACGATTACTAAAGGTGATTCAAGCCCTTTTGTTTCGCATAATTAGTTTTCAAGTACTAATTCGTAAGGTTTTCATTGGTTAGGTCACTCGCAGGCCTTTCTTTGGAGCTCCTCTTTAGGATGAAACAGATGTCCATTGCTGCTTGGTTGATAATGGTTCCCTACGTGATGTGGGTTAGTGATGGAACCTCCTGAACATACTGATTAATTGTTAAACATCCTCGATTCTCGATGGACCCATAGGTGCTTACTCTGAACTGTCTCAAACTATAACGAAATGTAGCTGTGCAGTAGTTTTTGGTGTGGTGAAATGGCTTTCCTAAATGATGTCAGTTCGCGATTAATCGAATCCCTGCAATATCAATACTTCAACACCAAAATTCTACTCAGTGTAAGTACATTTATCTTGTATTTCGCTGGTTAGGCTGTTTAAGTAGACTCGTATTTCATTGAGTACACTGTCAACAGCAGATTGTGTCAATCTCAACACTATTCGTTGCAGGATTTCATCATGAGCTGACATTGGTTAGAGAACCATTGGAAAATCTGGGATTACTGGACAGGTGTTTCGTCCTAGTTTGGGACTCTCCATCAGTGCGCACCTACCACAGTGGTTCGAACCCAGGACCATGTGGTTACAAGGCGAGCCAGCTCGTAGACCAATGACCAGCCCATGAATTCTAACTTCTGCCAATTCACTATACAGCACGACCGCTAGCCAATGTCTTTAGCGAGTATTTGTCCTCACACTCGACCTGATGCACCCAACTGATCACAACTTAACGCTATTCACAGTTTAATTTGTTACTATTAATCACTGTCCACGCAGAATTTTTGTGATTTCTTTATGTCATTATTTTATTTTTTTCACTAAACATTCTTCAATAAAGATGTCCCGTTTTTTCTCTCTCCATTTAATTTAATTTTATTTCTTTATTCAAAACAATATCAGGGTAGCGAAGCATGGAAGGTATACTTTAATCCATTAGGACAGGAAATTGTTGATGAATTCGCTATTCGTTATGGGATTGAACCAATTTTTCAGGCTATGACGTAAGTTGTGCTGTGTCATTTGTTATCTCCTCTTTCTTGTTGAAATATTCTGGTAGAATAAACAGCTGGTATCTATCTGTCTAGTGTTGTTTTTTCTATTTTTTTTGTGTTTTTTTATTTAAATGAACAACTCTCATTATTATTTGAGAACTATCATATGTTGAGATGGGATTATCACTGATCAGATTATAGAATTATTATTCCCTTATTACTTTATAAATTAAAAAAACCCATAAGGAATTTGTTCTACTTCACTCAAAATCTCTTTAATTCTTTACAAAATTCAAATGGACCTGTTCACTTCTAATGTTGTGTATGCCTTGGGTTTATTTCTTGCCTGGTAAGATGCACACTGAATGACTTAATCGTTGAAAGTTCGCCCAATAGAGAAAGTCTGTAAATTTATTTTTCGTTCTGATTTTCCTGGAGTTACAGACACAGATAATTACGCACTTACACTGAGTCCGATTTTACCTATCTATTACATCTGAGGATTTTAGAGATGTCCGATTGATTTTATGCTTGCTTACTTTATGAACTAACTACCAGGAGCAGTAGACAGTTTCTTCAACGTGTACCTAAAACGATCAAGTCTCTCGAGTTTAACACAATACCAGTTCGAGTCAGTTAGTTTGAAATACAGTAACCCGCTTTTTTCGTGAATTCTGTAAGTTCATGTTACACGGCAATTTATGACTCCACTTGCCATATTAACCGGTTACGCTATGTTAGAAATTGCGTCTCATAAAACACAGTTTTATGATGAATATCAAATTTCGAAATTATGGAGGATGAGTCTAATGCATTTCCGTCTTCCCAGCTGAATAGTTTAACCACGAAGGTTTCTTTGTCTTCCTAGATGTCATCTTCAGCACTAATTTCAAGCTTTATATTTTCACTACCAAAATATCTATCAAAAATGACTTTCTGATAGCAGCGTAGGGGCATAAACCTGCCCTTGCACTGCGAGTACATTGAGTAACGTATATCTTACTTCTATGATCAGTTTGAGACGAATAAGACTACTCACACTGCCAAGAGTCAATTAGAAATTGTGGAAAACTCCAGAAAAATATACTATCAACTGAAGCAATCGTTTTCACCACCACCAATAGAAACTTGGCAATAGCATGATTGTTGTTAGACATTAAACAATGTGTTCCATTTATGTGTCGGTCGGTTTTCGACATAGAACTTTACACATGTGTGTGGCAGTTCAAGGCGCCACACTCCCTGCATGTACCACACAAAGCAAGAGAAGAAAGTAGGAGAAATGCACAGTATAGACAGTAAACAGAGGTGTGAGACAAAGGTATAGTAATAACGAAGAACAAAACAGTTTCATTGGAAATCATAAGTCACAAGGAGTGGATGCATCTGCGCCAGCCATTGAGAACGATTTTGAACCATATCACCAATTGTCTCCAGCCATCATTGGTTTTTACCATCCCGAGGACCCCAACTACACACTAGTCTACACCTTCCTACGTGGCTACCTTAGACTAACTGTTGTAGATTTCATTGACTGGTGAAGCCATGTTTTGGTTTGACCGCCGCTAGCTCTTTTCCAGCCTGGCCCTATATCAGCTAACATTGCCCATCGAGGAAGGCGATGACTAGGCATACGTAACACATGTTTTGACCATCTCAGTCGATGTAATTGCACAGTCTCGTCGATTGATTTCCCTTCCTTACCTAGCACTCGACGGCTCACCTCAATATTCCTCATCTTATTATACCACTTCACGCGGGAGATAGAACGCAGACACCTATGATCGAAGACAGCTAATCTTTTGATGTCTTCTACTCTCAATGGCCAGGTCTCACAGCCATAAAGGAGGACAAAGCGGACTGCTGAGCAGTACACACCTTGATAGTCGACTATCACGTCTACGCCAGAGACGGCGTAAACTGACATATGCGACATATGCATTTATGTGTGATTGATGAAGAATATTCTTATGAATGCAGAAGTTTAGTTGAAGATAACGTCTTTACATGAATTGTGATCAAAATTTAAGAGAATAGTTCCAAAATAATTGGGCCCTGAGTGAAAAGTAGATATATGTAAAAATTATATTTGTAAAATCTCAACAAAACTGAAACGAGTAATTCCAACGTTTCGTTCCACAAACTGGTCCGTACTTCTTCAAGTATTTAATGGACACTTAAGTAACAAATGATATCTCCTGTTTTGTAAAATCTTTGGGCAGTCACATGAGTCATGAAACAGGCACCATAATATGATGAACAAAATTGTATGAATTTAATTGAATTTGAGATTTTCCCGTCGATTGATTGGACCGAAGTGCTCGGTCTCAGGTTGACATGTCGGCTTCTTGTGCAGATGCTTCGACGATGTCTTAACATTTAATTAGAATTTAATTTGTGGATGGTGACTAGCAGTGGAATCCAGGATGCGCATTTCGCCCTATTTGGGACTCGTAAGCTAGATGTACCTGCATTTCTCAAATTCAATTGAATAAATATGACCCGTTGCACAAGTGGTCTAGTGGATAACGCTTTGGCGTTTGAAACTAGGGGAACTGGATTTTAGCCTCAGTGGGAACATCATCACTCACTGAGAAATGCAGGTACATCCAGTTGACGAGTCCCAAATAGGACGAAATGCTCATCCTGGATTCCACTGCTAGTCACCATCCACAAATTAAAATTGTATGAACTCTGATCAAGATTTGACCTCAGACTTACAAACATTGGGGTAATCATTTGATTCCAAAGTGGGCTGAACCAATTTTAGTCCCCTGTTGATCTCTTCCCCCTCAGTAACTAAATGTTTGGCTCCTCTGAGTAAATTCTTCACTACAGCTTCTTTGGTGGTAAAGGAATGTACTGAATAGTAGTCTAGGTGTCTGTCTGAATTTGTCGGCTTTCTGAAAATGTTCATTTCAAGTTTACTATCTGTTCATTTAGGTCGAATCTACGAAATTTAATTTTTCCTTAGTTATTGAAAGAAACAATACTACACTTTTCGGCTGTTAAGATGAAGATTAAAATTCCAATGAGAACAGTAATCAGTTATGCCAATGTTTCTAATAATAATTAATTAATTAATATGCTTATTATTCACATTTCTTGTAGACATTTTGCCTGTTTAACAGCCAAGTATAATTGTCCTGGTGTTCCTGCTCAATTATCTGTTCTGTTAGCCAACATAAATGCCTTCTATGCGCATACAACATCATCAAACAGTCAAACAGCCAGTGAACGTTTCAGTGCTAGCAATTTTGGAGTAGGTTGACTGTTTTATGAATTTGTTTCACTTTAAAATTGACATCAGTTAGAGAACCACTGGAAAATCTGCAGGTAGTACTGCACAGCTGTTTCGTCCTAGTTTGTGACTCTTCATCAGTATGCATCGAGCGTAGTTCGAACTCTGGTCCAATGCATCCTGGCAGGTTTTCCAGTGGTTCTCTTACTGATGTCAGCTCATGATGAAACCCTCCGACCAGTCAAACAAAATCCCTACAAAAACCAATACTTGAAAACTTCATTATCCCACAATCTTGATTAATTTTGATCACACGATTTCATCATGAGCTGACACTGGTTAGAGAACCACTGGTAAACCTGGGATTACTTGACAGCTGTTTCGTCCTAGTTTGGGACTCTTAGGCAGCACGCACCCACCCCACTGCCAGGGTTCGAATCCAAGACCTTCTGGTTACAAGGCGAGCTCGTATACCATTAAGCCACTGGGTTCCGATCCAATGGCCCATGAATTCTAAATTCCGCCATTACAAACCAATACTTGAATACTGATTAATTTTCTCTAACAAAATCTGACAGAGATTAGCAATATTCACTAACATCTCGTTTCTGTTGATAAGTATGAAAGTGTATTCGCCTTCTCGGCGTAATTCAAATAAACAAATTCTCTGACGATAAATAAGTCTGTTAACATGACAGTGTGATTGTGAAGCTCAAGAGATACAGCTGCCTGACCCGTGTTGCATATTATTATTATTATCTACCCCTTCAGTTCTGAGTATGACCATTTATTATTCATTTATTTTATTCCTCTGAATTCCCAGTGGAACATAGGGCTTATAGCTAGAGGCTTGAAGTTTCGGTAGCAGTGTTTTCATTTTTACGGGGTGGGATTGCAAGTCTCATGCCCAACCTACCCTCTTTGCCAGGCTTATTACTAGCTAACCGAGGTAAAAGAGTGAGTCGATGGCTGGGAAACGACCCTGGACCACAAGCATGGTTGGCGAGAATTCTACCTCTGTGCCACCGGCACACACATGGGTTCTGAGTGGTGTATATATATATATATATAAGGCTTCAGCAACACATAGCCATTTCACTCTGTTTTTAGCAATGTCTTCTGGCTGGTATAACTTCAGCCTATAAGCTTTCATGCCCTCCTCACAACATCTATGCACTATTCGTTGTTTCGCTTTCGAGTACCACTCAATGGCCTGATGTGTGATGTCTTTTGAACATCTCCACAGCTTATGTCTAATCCATCTGCGTTTTCTTCAGTATGTTTGTTGGGCTACAGGTTCTTGGTTAATTCTTCATCAGAGTTCCCTGTTTATTATCTTTTCTGATCTTCAGAGAGGAATGAAGACAGCTGTTGTTAAAAGTCTATTACATTAGGCCATTTTAACGAAAGCCTGTGATTAACATTTAGATATAATAGCGTTGTACTTGACAGAAACAACTTGACTATCAAGATTCCGAAATCTTTAAGGAAACGGGATGAATAGTTCACTCATTTAGATTTCTTTTGCTGAAGCGTATTCGCCTTGAGTTGAGAATGTTTAATTGTCATTTTACAAAAGTTTACGACTCAGATTTATTTATGCACAGTCAACACTATTATGAAAATAACCAACCAACAACAACAACAACAGCAGCAACATCCAGCGCCAATCACTATCAACGGGAGGGATTTGAAATAGGCTACTTCATTCACTTATCTAGGGAGCATTGTCTCAACTGCAGGATAAAAAAGACGAGAATGTCAAATCGAGAATCGATCGGGAAGGCGAGAAACACATTCATCAACCTGAAACCAATCTGGAAATCTTCCTCACTCAGCCTGCATCAACAACAAAATTCGGATTTTCAATACAAACGTCAAGTCAGTCAGTTCTTCTATACGGATCAGAAACTTGGTGGGTCACAAAGAATATTTCCAACAGCCTGTTGCAGACCTTTATCAACAACTGTCTTCGCTGGCTCTATACTGAAGATCAGATGGCCACCGGAAAGAATCACAAACAAGAAGCTATGGGAAGAAATAAAACAAGAACCAATCGCCCAACAAATATCCAGGAGAAAGTGGAGATGGATTGGACACTGGCTGAGGAGGCCGTTGGATGACATCGCGCGTCAGGCCATTGCTCGGGTGGAACCCGAAAGTGAAGCGGCGAGTGAGACGTCTAAGGTTAACATGGAGGAGATCGTGCGAAGAGGAAATGAAACAGTATGGATTGATATAGACGCAGGTGAAAATTACAGCAGAAGACAGAAGCAAGTGGAGACGTGCTGTTGAAGCCCTATGTTGCACTAGGAACCCAAGGGAACAATAATAATAATAACACTGTGAAGTTTCTGTGTGATTCCTTTTACTTCATTATTCTTCAATGATAAATGTGTAACTGCTAAATCTATCTGATGTACTGTAAGGATACGTGAAAGCATCTGAATAAAATAAGCTTTTCAGTTTCCATGACATAAATATACATCAAGATTAATAGTTCAAGTCGGGATTACTAGTCAAGCGTCCATTTCAGTGAGTGACACTTTCTGTGTAACAATTGTGAGTGTTTCGTAACAGTATGCGCAGAAGTGATTAAAATGCAACCATTAAAGTCGTAATGATAGGAAGAATACGTCTCATCATATCTTTTTGTATATCTACTCTCATATAAATAAAAATTTTTACCTGAAGGGGCGAAGTTCAAAAATAGCGTCCCAGAAGTACGAACGCTGCCGTAGGCTCACGGCACCTGTCATTATCATAGCTGAAATATCAACGCTATTCACCAACTTAGGAGGAAATTTCACCCAGATTACGTTTTTAAGTACTGTTTGGATAATGTGTTAATAGCTCGTTAGGGTTAGGGTTAAGGTAAGTAAAGGGGTTAGGATTAGGATCAGGGTTACAATTAGTATTAGGGTTAGGTCTACGGTTAGGATAAGGAATGTAATTAGGGTTAGGATTACGATTATGAATAGACTTAGAGTTAATGACATTTATTTTAATTTGTTTTCTTATCCACATTTTCCTGGTAAGTAGTCGTCGATCCTCTTCCTGAAAACCATAGAAATTGAACCGAGGGCTTTTGCCGAAGACTGCGCAGCAGGATGAGAGAGATAAACTATTCACAAAAATAGCTCATCTGTAGTCATGTCGGTGAGTACATGTACATAAACTAGTCTAACTTAGCAACTGATACTCCTCATTGTAACTAAGAAGTATTTTTAATTCAAATCAGAGAAAGATAACCTGTTTAATGTATTTCCAAGCATTTTCTTGTCAATATACAACAGTTTGTGATGATATTAGATGGTTAGAGGTAATCGGCAGGAAGCCTTGGACCTAGGTTTCGTGCTGGTTGGCACTCGTCAGCAAGGCATATCTGCAGTCATCTTAAAGGAATTATGTCCATTCTGAGATTCGAACCCGAGTCTGTGACAGGTGCTCCTTCAAGGTTGCAGATACGCCTTGCTGACGAGTGCCAACTGGCACGAAACCTAGGTCCAAGGCTTCCTGCCGATAACCTCCAACCATCTAATATCATCAAATCAATGCACACCGTGTTGGGGAGCTACCTAGAATGGTGGCCACATTACAATCTGACTGATTGAATTCAGTCTGCACCAAAGAGAGGACTAGACGCATCACACTAGTTACTAGTGTCAAATCACAATATACAACAGGTTTTGTGCAAACATTCCTCATTTTTATGATTGGTCGGCTGAAGGTCACTCGTGCATTTGCATCCTCGGGACGCTATTGTTGAACTTTACCCCTAAAGGATTGCATTTTTACTGTTTGCCAGTAAAAGTCCATTTTACCAGCATTAATGAATCTGTATTCTTTTTAATAATAACGACTGAAGGTTGAAGTAAAAACCAAAGAAAAGTAGATATGCATTACGTCCGTATATGAAGAAGGGATACAAATGTATAGAAAATTTCCCCATGGCTGTATTTCACTTCTGAAATTTGCTCAATTCTCATAAATGTCAATTTATTCGTTGAGCAAAAAATGTTATACAATAGGACAGATTTGTAACTCTACATGTGAAGGTTTCTCTTCTCTGACTTGAAACTACGCCTAATATTCAGTTTTCAGTTGGGTGTCGTTTTTCACTTTACGCTTGCGTCGATTATCTTTTAGGAATGATCAGCTTAGTTGAATAGTTCCAAAAGTGATGTAATCAATTGCTAGTGTGTATAGCTTTAAAAAACCCCAGTGCGAAACAGCAAAGTCTCATTGTAATTTTTCTCTCGGAGACAATACTACTTAACATGTGTCTATAATTTGGTGTAATAATATCTCTGGTTCTCACCAAGGGTTTATTTTACCACGGTAATCTGCGCTTGTATGTGTGGTTTACTGCCACAGTCCTTTGGCACGAACAACTAGGCAGAAGGTTATGGAGAGGGAATGAACATCATACTCTGAGGAGACATTCTAGCGACATCACACTCCTAACCTTCGGGTGGAGGAACCTGAATGACAAGTAACCAGGTCGATATAAGTTTGTGGGTTACATTGAGTAGACTATGGAAGGAGGAGGAGAAGCAGAAGGAAATGGAATTCCTTAGGCAGTTGTGGACCCAACTGACAGTGATTTTACAGAACGGAACACATGGAATGAATAATAGATTATGCATATATAGATATATTATCTACATCACCTCTGTTTGATGCTATTTGATCTGCTGTGTTGCTAATTGCTTTCATTTGTTTTTGTTTGTTTGTTTTTTTCTCCTATTTCTAATTTGAAATTATGAATTAATTTAGCGTGAGAAATTTATTAAACTGTTGGACAATTTATACATTGCTATAAGGATTGACCTATCAAAATATCGGGTAAGTATAAACATGTATGTCTATAGCTAAATTATAATACTACTAGTGGTTGACCGCGTTATGAGTAATATATATATTTATATATATCAATAATTCATTTATTCACATAAACTATTAATTATTACTATCTATTGCTATTGCCATTAAAAAAGGACAATAAGCTGAGATAGACAAACAGGTGAATAACTAGATGGACAAACATACTAACAACAGATAGAGAAGGAGGCAAGGAGAAAGTTAGTTAGTATAGGGAGAAACAGTTGGCGTGCATTACCAAAGAACCTGAATTTAAGCTGTACGTATGTACGTACATATATAATGCGCAGCTATATATAAATAAGCAGTTTTATTTGGAGTAAATCTCATATATTCAATAAATTATTTATTCACATTAATTATTCTACTTTTTCGTGGTTCTAAGATCACAGACTCTTTCTTTGATCTGTGTATAAATATATATTTAACCTTGTATATTTCGCTAGTAACTTGGATAGTTTATTAGATATATGAAGGTACTAAGTCATTGCTGTACTAAGAATGCCAGTCGGTTTTAAGTGTTATCTTCAGTTTTAGACGTTTCAGTTCAAGATCGATTCCTGGTCAGCAGATACTAGAACAACTTCAGTTAGACGGTAGTCCACCCAGTAAAGACAGAAGATAGGACAGGAGGCTGGCAACCTCAATACGTAAAAAAACAATGAACACCACTGCTACTGGAACTTTAAATCTCAAAAAAGAACAAATCAATTTTTGAGTGATGTGTTATTTTTGGATGAATAGCTTTTTTGTTATCAAAGTTTGGTCCTTTTTCATCCTTATTTCCAAATAACTATTCATCGATATTCAAATATTAGTTTGTAGGGATTTGATTGATTGGTTACAGGATTTTTATCATAAGGCTGACATTGGTTAGAGGAGAGTGATTGGAAAACCTGCAGGGAGTACTGGACAGCCATATGTTTCGTCCCAGTTCCTTTTGTCTCTTCAACAGTACGCACCCACAACAGGGGTTCGAACCCAGGACTCTCTGGTTACAAGGTGAGCTCTCAGACCACAAAGCCACTGGGACTTGATCCAATGGCCCTCACGACATAGCTCGACCGCCAGCCAATGTCTTCGGTGAGTATTTGTCCTCACACCCGATCTGCTGCATTCCTCTGGTCATCACTTCCCATTGGAACCTAGGTAAATAACCTACCTGAATAGGGCCAGTCGCCAGTAAGCATCTCATCGATATTCAAGTATTGGTTTGTAGGGGTTTGACTGGTGACATTGACTAGCCGTCACGCTATATCGTGAATTGGCTGAAGTTAAAATTCATGGACTGGTCACTGGATCGGGTAGCAGTGGTCACTGAGTGGTCTACGAGCCCGCTAGCCTTGTAACCAGAAGATCCTGGGTTCAAACCCTATCGGTGGATGCATACTGATGAGGAGTCACTGCCAAACTAGGACGAAACAGCTGGCTGTTCAGTACTCCCTGCAGGTTTTCCAATGGTTCTCTAACCAATGTCAGCTCATGATGAAATCCTCTAACTATTCATCACTTAACTAACTGGGTATCCACTTCTTCTTCTTCTTCATCGATTGTGCGTCGGTGGCACAGTGGTTAGGGCTCTCGTCGACCATGCAAATGGTCGGAAGTTCGATCCCCTGCCGACGCACACCTGATATCTATGGTCGGCCTGCAAATTTGGGCTACCGATATCACTTGCTGAAAATTCCATACCTGTACCAAAAAATACGATGTGGAATCAAGCTGTAATCAAAAACAGAATCAAAAAATAAATAAATAAAAAATTTTTTATAGCCCATATACTCTGATTTGTCAGTTACAAACTAATAATAATGCTTGAACTCTGCTGTTATTTAACATTATCCGTATAAGCGCCTAAATACCTGTACAGCTGTGTTACTTTAAAAAAGGTCTCTGTGTTGACTTAAACAGCATTTTAATAAATGTTATTGCATTCCAGAAATGACTAAACATTCCTCGCCTCGAAATCTTGCAAAATATGAGAGAAGAAACTGTTTCAATAAACAGTTTTATTCCTTACAATTCATTTTACTTCTCACTATTAGTTTAATGACCAGTCGACATTGTCTAATTGACATCACTAGTCAGTATAGTGGATTTCAAGTTATTTTAAAGTTAGCCTTGAAGACATTTTCTGTGAATTGTAGTGAAAGCTTTACCACAGCACACAGAACATAATAACATCAAAAAGAATACACACTAGCTATAAATCTCCATTACTTCAATACCAAGAAGGTTCAGTAGATAGATGTTAACGGGATAGTTGCATTCTTCTGGTAGACTGTAAGCAATGGAGTCAACTTCCCTGACTAATTCCAGTTAGTGAAAGCCAACAGGGTTTCATGTGCGTCGGTGGCATAGCGGTTAAGGCGCTCGCTGACCATGCACATGGTCCGGGGTTCGGTCCCCGGCCAACGCACTCCTTTGCCTCGCTAAGTCAGAAATAATGCTGGTGAAGAGGAAAGGTTGGGCATGAGGCTAGCAACCCCATCCTGTAGAAATAAACACTGCTACAGAAACTTCAAGCCACTAGCTTGAAGCCCTATATTCCACTGGGGAACGTGAAGGAAAAAAAAACAGGGTTTCATTGTTTCAGATAGACATAAAGACGATGACTATCATTAAGAATAGGAGGCATAAAATGACACCAGATAATGTTATACAATAATGAAAATGTAGCAGAATGTTCAGATCTCATCTTGAGGATACAAAAGATGTTAACAAGGCTCTCAAAGTCATCTACATTATACCGAATAAGCTGAATTTTACCTTAGTAGTTCGGCTATTATATATTATTGAGGCTGTCAGAATCTATATTAAGAAGGCTGATTTATGTAGCCAAAAGAGGTTAGTTCAGACACTATCCTTACTCTGGTTATCAAGATTTTAATGATCCTTAACTTGTAGAGATTTCCTTAATTTTATTTGATATTCTATTTACTTTTACATTTTCATGCTTATTATAACTTTTGCAATTTTCTTGAACTGTATTTTCAATCGTCTTTACGAAATTATATAACTCAGAAACAAAACGATACTGTTAATTTAAAACAATTAGTTCCCTCTATGAATTTAAACATAGCAAAAAGAATATATGTGTGTGCACACACATAAATAGGGAGGATTCATCGATCTCTGGAAGTAAGGGCTAGCTTCAGAGCATATTCCTGAATGGCTCCAGAAGCAAATAGAATCCCCAGGACCCATTAATGGTGAGAACAGACGACGACCTAGCTCCTCTATTGTGAAACATATTATAGAAACAGGACATAAAATTGGCGTTTAGACACGTCTTTTAAACCTATCTATAAAAAGTGTTTGGGGTGTATCCTAAAGTCTGTGAAAACCCTAGCTGGCAATTTGAAAGTTTAAACCACCTTTATGCTTTCATCAAAAACAATTCGTCATCATCCCATCAAACCTTCCTTGGTAAATTTCTTTGTTTTGATACCAGCCAGAGTAGATGTACTATTACCTCTGTTATCTGGTTCAGTGATCTTCATTGTTATTTTTACCTTCAATATATCCTTTTAACTTCACCTAAGTCTATTTTCTCACCTCTTAACTCTTTATTAATTTCATACGTGTGTATTCCTATGACAAGTCCGTGTGGGTGTGATCAAATTGTTTGAAATGTGTTGCGCAAATAATACGTTACACGATTCAGACAAATTACGTCTTCTTATTGCTTTGTCTAGATATTGTTAATGGCAATTATTCTATAATATTTTGTATATGTATGTGTAACGACAGAAGGCAAGAGTCATGCAACAGATTGTTTATTGAGAAAATCAATAGTTATTTATATATTTTTATGTACATTATTATTCGCTATTATTACCAGACAAACAGCATCTTCTGATGGGTTGTTTTCTCGCTGAGAGTTATTCTGTCATCTCTTTTTAGTCGTTTCTTTGATAGTCAGACCATATATCTGCTAATCATACCCGCCCACGCTAAGTTTGCTGTGACTGGTTGTTGAGTTCCTCAAGGTTAGGCTATGTTCTTGTCGCCTCTCCTGCCCCCAATTCGGGAAGTAAACACTGACGTATATTGTTGCATACAATTTTCTCATGCAGACACTCTGACCGTATATATATATATATTATTGTGGAGCTGGAAAAGGAATTTAATGAGCAGAATATTCTTTGCAGGGATTTTCTTTTGTCTTCTAAATGATGATCTGTTCGATACGCGTAGGAATTGAGTATAGATCTATGCAAATAGATCTAGTGAATATATGCTGATAATTTTCTCTACGTTTACAAACTCAATAAATGCATTAGCTCATATTTATTCTCATGTCTTTTAAGCCTTCACTGAGAATCCCACTCACCATACACTAAAGATTTTATATAAAATGATGGACAAATTCTATCTAGAGCAAACATTTAATTTATAAACATAGGATGTAGGTTACAAATACTATATTCTTAACTTATACTACCTGACACATTCTATAAACGCCAACAAACATTCTATAAACGGTGTAGTAAACAGTTTCTTCAATGTTATCTTACTTTTCAACACTAGTGGGCCTAAAATATGAGTGAAATTGCCACCGAGTGTGTTTTCAGATCTTCAGAGATTTCTTTATTAGTGACTTATTTTTAGTCATTAATGTAAGTGTAGAACTTGGGCACTGTGGTAGCACGTAATCCCATATTAGATATGTCTATTTTAAATATCATGCAGTGATGAGGCGGTTTTAACAACTGCATGACAGGGTTTCTAGCATAAATTATTGCCACTCATAATCATATCGCCAACAGGGTGAGTTGACCATGCTAGACTGTAGAATAAAACGAAAACAAGATGGTGGGTTAGATACTAGCTGGCATTTATAGGAAACCAATACACTCTAATAAATACTTAGACTTCAATTTATCCCATCCAGAATTGGTAAAGATCGGGTTTAGTTAAATATCTGTATAATCGGGTTAAGAGCCTAACTAGTAGGCCAG